TTAATTTTACAAAGCAAGTGAGGGTTCACGGGTTCGAAATATCAAATTCCAAGTTTTTCGGGTACAGCCTGGGGCTCGCTGAAAAAATGAGTTATGATGATTTCTCCCCGGAAACTAAACGAATCGGAAACAAAAAATCCTGTTAGAAAGAGAAAAAATTGCTGCATAAAATAGTTTGCCAGCTGCTCTTCTTTTGATGTTCTATGAGGATTTCGCTGCCCAAGTATGGAAATCGGTAGCATCACTTAAAATTCTGTTAAAAATGTATGACAAGCTATGGAAAGGAGGAAAAAGTAGTTTTGCATTCTGTAGGGTTTGCTCTATAAAGGCGTTACGTGCACATTTTTGGAGGGTCGATATAAAAAGTTATAAAAAATCGTGAAACTTGACCACCTCAAAAAGCATGGGTCGCAGATTTTGGTTATTTTCTGAAAGCTCAATGATGTTTTGCAAAATTTTCATGACAATTAGAAAGAGAATGAAATGCTGCATTGAATGCTACCAAGATCTCTCTTGAATCTTTGTTCCAGCAAATGTGGCGTCCGTTTGAAAAAAGCGAAATAACTTTCGGAATGACCTAATATATTTCAATGATTTTTCATTCCAGTCCGAAAATGTGAGTAAAAGATTCGAAATGCTGGAAATTCAACTGCAGTCATGTACGGACCCTTAATCCTTAACCTGATTAACTTTTTTGTTTCTCGATTCCAGTGTTACCATCTTCAAAAACAATACACGTCTTATAGTGGTGTGCACATTCATGATGAGGGCAGCTAGAGGGAGGAGTGATGAGCGGGGCCGCCCTTTGGCACCGAGAAGGTGTGATGTCCTTTAAGGGATTTCTGGAGGTGACAAGTACCCCTGCGAGGAAGAGCGGCCAGGCTTTGGGAACTCCTGCCACGCAGCCGTCATAATACTATACAGAGCCGCTGCGTGTGTTTTAATTGGGGTACAAAACCAAAACCAAAGCAGAAGCTGAGTCTTTAATTGTGGAGATAGTTTTTTTTCTGTACCCCTCCTCTAGCTACATCTGTTCAGACTCCAACCAAACTACCATATTGCTATTTTCATAATAAAAGAGAAAATTATGTTGTTTTTCCTAACTCCATTTCGTTCCTTCCCTTAGACGGAGTTCAAGGGAAGGAACGACAGTTTTTCATAAAGTTTTCGTTCTCGCTCTACTTTTGTAAAAAAAATAAAGGGTAGAAAATGACGTATCTTTTATATTATATGTGATGTTGCGGACTCGTATTAAAATGCACATTGAGGTATAATTTTAGAGGAATTCTGAACTCATAATTTTTGGCATCAACATGGCCTGTCGTTGTGGCCCACGTAAGTCGCGTAAAATGTCAAGCGCAATGCAACCATGGGACTTTCACTCTACAAGGCGAGCTAAGGCTTAGAATAATCTATAGTAGGAAAACAAAATAAGTCCTAAAACAACAGCTGCGCGAAAATCAAGTCCAAAAAAAGCCTTTTTCGGCCGCTTCAAAAAAAAACCAAATGGGTAGGTGCTTCTGGATTTTTTTTTGCAAACGATTTTTTATACGAAGTCTTGGCAAAATTCAAGGTTAACAGTGTTGCTCAGTCGAGTGTTAATTATACAATGAGCAGTGCTTAGTTAGTTTGCTATGCTACTCCACCGGAGTCTTTCTCGTTGTTGCTCTGATAATTTTTGTTTGAGCGCAAAATTGCCAAGGATTTGCAGATTATAGCAATTTATTGTACTCGTAACGATCACTTTGAAAAAGAGTCATCTTAATCAAATCAACTTCGAAAACAAGTGAACGTTTGAAACAATACAATATTGTGTAGATATACATTACATCATTACTATATCACAATTTACCCAAAAAATTCAAGTGCCTCTAACCCGAAAAAGAGAAAAGTTCTGGGAAAAAGTGCGAAATTTAGTTGCGAGCTAACGTTGAGCCATCAGTTCATGACAAGTTCATGACATCCTTGCATTGTAAGTAGCCTGGAGCGGAATAAGCAAAATTCTGAAAACTTAACAATGCAGCTATGTTTCTCTTGTTGTAGATCGTCGAAATTCTGAGCCTGTGTTTTCTGCGACTTGTTCTTTTCAAATTTTTGAAAGTGCTTTGAAAAACTGAATAGAATAAACGGAGCACAATGCAAAGCATATTCTAGGTCAAAATTTCAATCTGCACTTTTGTTGCCAGTTTCACAGTTTGCCTTTACATCATAGAACATCCTGGCCCGAACTTATTGTAATTGTTGCTTGTAAAAGCCGATGGCTACACGCGAGATTCTGACAGAGGCCAGCACGAATGTGGCAGATGGACATCGGTGAAAAAACATCGCCTTTGCCACTATCGATTTTTACGATTTTCCACTTGATCCCGCCAGCTGCATAGGCTATTCACTTTGAGCGCGCTTTCTTCGAGAGAAAATCTGGCGTCGTTCCTGTTGTGGATCCTAAGAAGGAAGGAGGTTTCCAAACTTTAGGTGTAGAACAAATTTACTTTGAAAAACTCATGCGAAATGAAACTTTTGATTACCTCAAGTGGGCACTAGGTGGGATATATGTTTTCCAAAATATTTCATACTTTGTTTCTTACCGCAACTGTGTGTTCACGCACCAAACGTCCTATATTTCATATGCGCGCTGCAAGCGGTAATATTTTGTGGTAGTGAGGAATTTTCAAAAAAAACTTGTCACAAACTCCAATCGCAGTTTTTTTTGGAGTATATGCGCTATGCTCTTCTTAGTCTACGTCCGTTTACACTCCAAATTCTTAGTCATGTCGTTATGTGTGCGCCACATTTGATTACAACTCAATAAAAGATTCGGATTTTTGAAGATGGCGCGCAAGCAAAATCGTGTTTTGCATGTCAGTTGTGTAGCAACTCTCGAGAAAGTGTACGTACATGTGAACGTATACTTACGATATCCCCTTTGCTTTCCACCATAACGATTTCAAACCTGACTTTGCCCACCTCGTGCTGGACCTTTGTTTTGAAACTTGATTTCTGAAGTGACTGCTTGTTTTGACATTGTTTGGAACATAAGTCTCAATGAATTCTAGAAAGGTATGTTGCAAATATTTTTGTCAAAATTTTTTTAAACCCAGGGGGTAATTAAAAATGCCAAAAGTTTCTTCTGCTGTGCATTATTGCTTTATACATTTATTGATTGTGCTCTTCCAAATGTCTAGCAGAAAAGTTTTCAAAAGTGTTGGAATAGACATAGTGAACACAGAGTCTTGGATTTTTTTGATTATTACAAATAAATGCCAAAAAGCTGCCGGATTGCTTCGAAGGTTTGCCTACTTTGTCCGTGTTTTTATGATGGGACAAAAAAAACAGCTCTTGTTCATACACAGGCATAAGTTTTGTTATTTATTTGCGATGTTTGTTGGCATTGTGTCTTCCAGTCTAAATCTGTGTAGCATACATATTCCTCTGTTGAGGTTTTCGAATAATACCTTTGTTGTTACTTTATTCAGCCTTATAAAACGATTATTATTGTCTGACCTTGCCTTGTTTCGTAAGTGCTCTTCTTGCCAGCTCAGCTCCAGGTAATATTGTTGACGTGTTGCATGTGCCTCTCAAATATTTGATGACTCCGCTCAAATCATGTCCTTTTTCCATAGCACTAATTTCTTCACCATTTGAGACGTATTTGCAAATATTATATAATGCCAAACTTGGCAGAAAGGGTACACTTGTCCTGTGTTTGTTTGAAATTTCTCCAAAAGAATCAATTGCAATTTGCAAATGAAATGTTGTCAACATAGATATTAGAATTCAGAAGCGCATTTCACTAAAAAAAACTTCAACATAAAGTTTGGAAAATTTATAGGAAAGGTAAACAAATACAAATTCTATCAACGTTGATTTATTAGGTCGTAAAAAAATGTTTCGAGCAATCTTGGAATTTTCATTTTAAACTCATTTTTTTTCCATTTGATCTACACACCAGAATAGGAAGTCTATGCAACGGAGAAAATTCCACAATTTTCCTTTTTGCTGCTGTTAATTTTTCCACAACACAAACAAAACCATTTGATCAATTTGGTCACTCTGAATGAGGAAATTGTTCCCCACACAAGGCACCGTCCACTCAGTTTCTCGACTTCCACTTTTTGTCGTTTTAAGGCCTTTTCCGGTCTCTGATTCCGAATATGAAGGTTCCGGAGAACCCACAGGCCGGCTTTTCGGAGCGGTGATTGGATGGGCGCGCACTGGGCGGGCATGGATGGGGAGGGCGGGCATGGATGGAGGTCCTCGTGCATCTTCGCTATTCCGAAGCGATTTTCTCGCTTGCGAATCATTTTGCGCCGCAACTTGGGCATTGAATTGATAGGGGGTCCTGCTATTATATGCTGCCAGCTCAACATCCTCAACTTAGTGTGGACGGCGCCTTTAATACGGCAGCTGCACTTCTTACAATACGCAAAAAAATTACGAGTTTTTGAACTTGCTTCTGACCGTAACTTCGCAGTTGGCGCCGATTCCTCTGAGGATCGCCACGCCGGGGTGATGGGGCCCAAAAGATGTACAGAACTTTATCTTAACTGACTTTAATGGGACGTTTTGGGGATGCAGAAAATGAGAGATTTTCAAAATTTTTCGCAGAGATCTTTTGCAGAAATTGCCTTAGGAATGTGACATAACCTCTTGATATTCCGAGCAGGTTTCTACGTGACTACCGAACACGAGCTATCCAGCTCTATTCATGCTTGAGAAATTATGCATTAAAAGACTGATTTTCAAGTTGACTTTTCTTTTTTGCGCATGCTGGTGGGAATGCTAAGAAACCAACAAATATGCATGCCTTGTAGAAAACATGTGTTCTGCACCAAATTCTGCAGCTCCCAAAAAGGATTGTTTTCGTTAAAGTTACAGCAGTTTGAGGAAAATTTTGCAAGTGCCCGTAACTTTCTTTACAACCTAATAAATAAAGACCCTTGTAAAGGATTACGAGACGGCGTTCAAGAGAATAAACTTTTGGTAATCTACAATTTTTTTAGCAGACACCCAGCATCATAGTGACTTTGGGAGTTGGACATGAAACGAGGGCCGAGGAAGCTCTGCGAAAGGTGAGGCTCTGGCGCGTTTGCACTTCAGCACACGAAAATGAATAGAAAAAAAGCAGATATCAGATTTTAGGTGCTGCCAAATGGCACTCGATTTTATGGAGCGGATCCAATCCAAGAAGTCAATGAAGTACTTTATTCGAAAATTGGAAAATTTTTCCCATTTGCTATTGGGGCCAAAACGCAAATTTCAAACGCTAGTGTTCTCATCAACAGTGGGTTTATAATCCACAGCAGTATGCTAATCAGAGAGATGTTGAAGAAACTTACGTGATGCGCAATGTGATTCATGTCGAGTTGGCTCACTTTCTTACGGATATAATAGGGCACAAAGTAAATCTTTCGCATAGTTTTTATATTGAGTTCGGTGCATTTTGATGTTGACAATGCAGATTTACGACAGTCTATGGATTGACATTGAAGGTGCGGAATATGAGTTATTTCCTTACTTTTATCGAGATGGCAGATTGGACCAATTTGGCGTAACCCTTTGTCAGTTCAATATGGAGGTGAGTTTTTATTTGCGGCCAAATGCCAAATTCTTTCTTGTACAATACTTTTTTTTACAAAAAAAGGCCTTAAAGTGCAAGAAAGCCTCCACAGCGAAGATTGTTTTGCAAATTGGCAATACTGTTGCTGCTTATGCACATTTTTAGGTGCGCTACTATGCTTTTAAGCTCTGTCCGACTCCTTACGCTTCTTTACTAAAGTCAAATTTACTGATTGATAAAATGAGCCCTGCGTCGCAGCTTTTTGCATGAAATTTGATATAAGTAAAATCCGAAGCTGAAATCTAAGAAAAATTAGAAGTTACGTCAAAAATGTTTTCATCGTGGCTCTCTTTTCATCATCGCTTTTCATTCATGCTCTTCATTCTTTTCTTTGCTTTTTAACATCTTACAAATCTCGCTTGCTCCAGCATATTCTGCCCACATCGGATTTTGAAAAGTTCTTTCCATGGCCAGATACCGAGAAAAGAATAGAAAGATAAACTAACGGTGTTGTCAAAATTTTTTCGTTTTTTTCTATCCTTAACATAAGGTAGTTACAAAAACGACTTTGCTTTTTTACAAGGCCACAATTCAAACAAAGATACGAATATTGATATCCAATGCATTTGTATGCTTTTTAAAAAATACATAGAGTCCACAACTCTGTTCACAAAACTCTTTCGCAGATTTGGAAAGCGGATATGTTATCAGCGTTTCGAGGGACCTTGATTGAGCACATCTTCTTGTTAAACACCAGTGCGACTCGGTATCCTTCCCTTGTTAGACTTCTTCAAAAATAGCACAACAGGTTAGAAAAGCGAAATTTGATCATGGCAGAAATTATACCCTGCAGTTTTCAGTAATTGAGAGCTCATGTCTGCAAATATGTATCAGTTTCAAGAACCATATAAATGCATTAAATGCTTAATATCTTTTGCTTAATATCTTGATACAAGAGTGTCTTTGTTCCGTGAAATGTGACTCTGTAAAAAAAGCAGGATTGCTTTTGGAACTATCTCTTAATAACATCAATAGAAAAAAGGTTTTTTTGACAACATTGTCGTTTTCCTACTCTACTCCTTTCTCTATTTCTGGTCATCGAAGAAAAGTAGGTATTAGGACGACTGTGCAAAATATGCTAAAGCAAAATTAGCATGCTTGCTAGGTTGAAAGTCTTTTTGAAGTCATCCGAAAATCGGTACAGTAAAGATAAGCACATTTCATGTATCCATCCACATTGCTTTGTTTATCGAGAAAGTGCTGAAATAATCGCTGAACATTAGAGCTTTTCGTTTTTATCATGTTTGAATTCCGCTAATTTCCAAAATTTTTATCTGAGATGCCAACTAAAATTTTCTTTGAAGTTCTGTGGCCTGTCAAATTTTTGAAACATATTTCTGGAAGTAACTTATACTCGGACTGTTCTGACCTCGTAAAACATTAAATGGTAGGCAGTTCAAGTACCATTGGGTTATAGTACTTTTCTCCTCTCTCCAATGTTTTTCCTTGAAGATGCATGCGAAATTTGCGGGCGATCGCGGTGTTTCTCAATACAATAGCTTCAATAGTGCGCACTGACGTATCCCAACTTTCAAAATTTATTTGTCAGAAATCGCTTTATAATTTTGTAAGGCCAGTAATCCTAACGATCAAGCGTTGAAAATTAAGTATTCTGAAAATTTAGCAGTGTTTGATGCAATAAGGTCATGTGATTTTTCAAAATTCAAAACTTCCGGAAAATCATTGAGCAAAATTGAAGAATTACCTGAAAAAAATTTAGCCGGCAAAGAGTCCTGCTGAGTATTGAATCTTCTTCAAAGTCTCAAAAATTCTAAAACACGAAAGTCGGACATGCTAAAAACGAAAGGTTGTAACTTCCAGCAACTATCTCGGCACTTTTCCAACAAATCACACTTGCAATGCAGCGGGAAGAGGAAGAATTATGCAGCGATTACAACATGAAATCTTTGTTCTTCTTTATTCTACCGTATTTCTGATGGATACAAGAAACTGACAAAACTTTTAGACCAGTCTAGTATTACAAAACCAAATGAGTTGCAAAAAGTATCCCTTATTGCTATTGACTTAACACAGAGTCGACTTGCCGGATAAGCGAACATGTCATGAAAACAAATGCGACAAAAACTGGTATGAAGAAGCAGAACAGGGAGGTGAAAGAAATATGTCGTAGGTGGGAGAAATAAACCGAGGAAGTTGGGGGTTTTTGGCATTATGACCCAACGCGGAAGAAAGCCGCTAAGATTCGAAAAGATGGTATGCTGCGTAACACAATGCAAGCATGTTAGTGCTGCAATGACATAAAAATACTCAAGGATAGATATTTATGTTACAACATATCATGTGTAGAATCTGCCACCAAGCTCCACATGCCTCTCACGTACGCAAATGCATATACTAACTACATTTGCCAATGATGATGCATATCGTCTCCGTAATTTTCCAAAATTATGAACCGAGTAAACATATCTTACAACTTCGTTCAAAGCAGTTCTGGTTGCTCATCCACAAACAAAACACCACTCATAACTTGTGCGAGAAAAAGTGATGGTCACTTGAGTCAGCTAACAAAAGCATCGCATTGTTAAAGGCAGTGGCTTGGAAAAACTTTTGGTAGTGGACTTTTTACCTCCCCAGAAATAAAAGCAGGCCAAGACCGATCGTACAGCACCGTCACCCTGAAAATTGCCTCAAAACCGTGTGCGCAAGCCAATATTACAATCGCTCAGACGAGCTCGCAATTTACCTTCCACCATCTGAGGCGGTATGTCGCGATGTTTTAATTGTAAAGATTTAAGCGCTCTACAGAGTGGATTTTTGAAAACAACGTATCGGACAACCGCAGGTAAAAAAAAGTTTCCAGGTGAAGGATTTGCCGTGCTTTTGAATCTTTCTTTCGGGGGGATGAATTCTGCTCAACATAAGGAAATGGCACAACTTCTCGGATAATTCAAAAAAGTCATCGCACTTGCTTTAAAACGCTGATCCTTACTATAATATACATTGGATCCTTCCAAGCGCGACGGCAGAGTTATCTGCGTCCCTCCTATTTTTAGCCCCTGTATGAAGGAGGTTCCAGCTGCTGAAGGATTCCAGAAAAAGAAATGCGAAAATATAACGGCGCTCAGTGATGGCGAGAGGAGAGGCCAGAAGCCATTATGTCAGCGAGGGATTTGCTCGCACTATGGGTTCCGAGCGGAGCGAATATTCTTCAACATTGAGCTAAGCGGCTAACATTTGGCACAGGGGTATATGTGTGGAGGCTGATCACAAAAGCATTACATTTGAGAATTATCGATTACCTATATGCAGTATATTCGTAGCCATTATTCTGGCGAGAGATTGTCGTTGTTGTGTTTCTGTCACAATGGCTGTCGCCGATGGGGTGCGAAAGTCATTGATCGCTTGAGTCATTCTGTACTGTCGTGCACGCATGCGAGCAGTTTATTGCTTAATGCAGCTCACGGCTTTTATTCGACTTTTCATGTGTCACAAAACTTCAATCCTGGACTCACAGAGCATGATACTTCGCACAGTAATGCAAAAAGATAGATCACGCTTAACCGGCATCATCGCGCAAACATGCGATTAAGATATATTTTCTGCATCTGCATTCCCTCACCAAAGACTTCCGCAATAAATTGTAAGAATCATTTGAAGGCCTGATTGAAATACTGAGCGATCAGGAAGTTTTGGTCGCGATGGACGGTAAAGTTAACGTTTTCTGGAGTAGAGCCTTCCGCACAAATATCAACAAAATATCCACTAACTCCTCCACTAACTGCCTTACAGAGCAAGAATGCTAAAAATTTGACTTCTTTAGCAAAAGAATAAGCATTCAATTGAGTTTGATCCGGATGCGCGGCAAAAATCGGCGTTCTCTGAAGTGGAGCCTCATTTTAAAAGTTTCACTCTCTTTTCCGCTCGAATCCCAAATGTAACCACGAAAAACTCACATTTTGGGATACTGCCGAAAATCTAATGTTGTTTCTTGGCGATAAACTGAGCATTCAACCAATTTTTTCGAGGAACGTAGTTCGTAAGCATCCAGATTCAACGTTTGTGGAATAGAGCCACATCTCGTAACTTGCATCCTCCTTTTCGTCAAAGTTCAAAGAAATTCGCGGAAAACTCTTCTTCCTAATATCGCTGAATCTCCCTAGCGGTAATCAGACGCTTCAAGCAGGTATATAGGGGTTCGCGAGCATTCAAAAGATTTTGGTCCCGGGGCGGCGAAAAACAATATTTGTGAAGTTTCATTTTGAACGGTTCCGCCCCTTTTTTCCCCTCAATTGTCAGGGAAATTCACTTAAAAAACCCATTTTTCGGAAATCACTGAACCTTCTGAGCGGTAAACGGAGCCTTCAGTCAGGTTTTGAGAGGAGAAAGGGTTCGCGAGCATTTAACAGATATTGGTTTCGAGGGCCGCCGAAAAACGATGTTTGTGAAGTGGAGTTTCGCTGATTTTTCATCTCTTTTCTTCTCATTTGTCAGAGAAATTCATTCAAATAAACTCATTTTTTTCGGATATCAGTAAACCTCCCAAGCGCTTTACGGAGCCTTCAGACAGGTTTTGAGGGGAGATAGGGTTCGCGAGCATTGAACTGATTTGATCCCGATGGCCGGCCAAGAATGATATTTGTGGAGTTTCGTTTTAAAAGGTTCCGCCTTTCTTCCTGAATTATCAGGGAAATTCATAAAAAAAAAACTCATTATTCGGATATCACTGAACCTTCCAAGCGGTAAACGAACCCTTCAGACAGGTTTTGAGGGGAGATAGAGTTCGCGAGCATTCAACTGATTTGGTCCCGAGGGCCGGCCAAATACTATATTTGTGAAGTTTCGTTTTGAAAGGTTCGATCCCGTTTTTGCCCAAATGTCAGGGAAATTCATAAAAAAAAACTCATTTTTCGGATATCACTGAACCTTCCAAGCGGTAAACGAGGCCTTCAGACAGGTTTTGAGGGGAGATAGAGTTCGCGAGCATTCAACTGATTTGGTCCCGACGGCCGGCCAAGAATGATATTTGTGGAGTTTCGTTTTAAAATGTTCCGCCTTTCTTCCTTGTACACGTTCCCTGAAGAAAGAGATAAGTAGGCCAAATAGAGAAGTATAATGTATCACATGTTTATGCTTTTCAGTTTTCATTGACAACAATGTAATTAAAACAAATATTTTGCTATTTATAGGTATTTGTTAAGAGTAAAATGAACATTGTTGTTTTATTCTAAAAACCACGGACAACTTTTCTC